GTGATAAATCATTTAATGTAAATTGTATTTGTTCTTCCTCTTGTGCAATAGTAAGGAAATCAGTAAGTGTAGAAGGATGTCGACGAATAACATGAGGAATTAATGATTGTGTTAATCTTGTAATTAAATGATGAATTATTATTGATATACTTATATTTGAATCAGCTTGTAAACACAGTTGAATTTTATCAGAATAATATCCCATAACAGATTCATGAGGTAATTGTAAACATTGTTTCATTTTTAAGAATGTTTGATAACATGTTGGTTGAAAAGCTTTAATAATTTCATGTTTAAATGTGGACCAATCAGGAATAGATGGCTTAGTCAATCGAAACAATTTTTCAGCCATATGAGTTAAATAGTATTGTACAGCTATATATTTATTTGATGGTCGAAGTTGTGCTCGATCAAATACTTCTTCAGCATTGTGTAACCATGTAACAATATCTTCATTACGTGCACCACCAAATCTAACAAGACTTTTGATTAGTTTTTTAGCTAAAATTTTCAACGACTGTTCTTCCATACTTAATAATAATACTGCACGGTAAACAATAAGACAAATACTAAATTCAGCAGAAACAGGATAATAAAAGTAATGAACAATGCAATGATCAGAAGAATTACATAAACACCATTTAGAATAATAATGTCCAAATAACGAACATCAAGACAAACATAATCTCTTGGTGAGTTGTAATAAACAACAATATAATGATCAGGACTGTAGCATAAATATAGGTACGAATAAGGAGTAAAGGATCACAAACATAAGGACAAAAGTTAAGCCAGGATAAACAATGGAGATAAATCGAATACGATCAGGACTAGTTAAAAAACGAACGAACTAAAGGACAAAAAATCTTATCGTGTTCGACGAATTGTGGTTGAAATGGATCACGACGGGTCACGACACCAATTGTTAGTCTGTTGACTAACCTTCTCCTGGTTCACCTTTATTTAAACTAACAAAACTAACTCTAATATTAACTAAAAACTAATAATAATCGATCCATATATATATCCTTATGGATCATACAGATGACCAATCAATAGAACATTGAAGAGAAAGAAGAAAAGGGAGGTAGTGGGTGAAAGATAGTGCCACTACCTAACACTAATTTGCAAAGAGATCGACTTTATGAAAAGGTAAATTTTGTTAATTCAACATCACCATTTACTCTTCATGTGATATCTTCGACAGAATCAACTGATAAATATTAATCAACCATTTTTGCTATTTATGAATCATAGGTTTCTCATACATAAGAAGAGTGCGAGTATTTGTTTTTCTATCATTTGATAAAAAAAGCTTGTTAGCGCAGCCCCTTTGAGGTTGAAATGTGGAACTCACATATCTCCTTTGGTTTCATTATACTAATGACAAAATGCCCAATATTTAAAATCTCCAAAAGATAATAGTTCTATTCTAAAGATAATCGATTATTAGAAAATGCTATATTTTTATCTCTCAATTTCGAACAGAATTCTTTTTTCATGAAATTGCCAAGGTCTGTAATGGGGGGTATGTCTGTAATGTTCTCTTTCCCGTTGCTATGTGTCTGTAATGGGGTGGGAGGGGGGAGGGGAGCCGCCAACCTCGAACTGAAAACTTACACTTACTATTTTCTTCGAAAACATACGTGAGTTCCACAAAAGTACGATGACGCCTTCGTTTTATTTACTGACACTTAAGTATATGTCAAGTTTTTTTTCGATATATCCAATCAATGCAATAAAAAGAATCAATATGAAAATAAGCAAAACGATTAACCGATTGTGGAAAGCATTCTCGATATTACTATTAGTAATGTTATTATGAAATCAGCCAAACTAAACGATTGTCACAGTTTGAATAAGCCTGTATAATTCAATTATTTTTCTTTATATAACTCAACTGAATTCAGAGGTTGCGCGGAATTTCGACAACAGGAATTTCGCAATCAAAATTTCGACAGTGTCCAAATTTCACTAGAATTTCGAAAAATGTCCAAGGTCCATTGGAAGTTGGACAATATTGCCGATTTTCTACAATTGTCGAAATTCTTAAGGAACTACGACAATATCAATTCTTGCTCGGTATTTTATTGTCTAATATCCGCCGGAATTCAGACAGTATTCACAATAGTTAGACCTGTTGTGTTTGGTTGTATTTGGGAGAAGATCTGATGTTCGACCTTTTCTTTTATTTCAACCAAATCCAAAAATGTCAGCGCACATACATCTATATATTACACTCTACACACTGTACTCTTAAAAGAAAAAAGGGTGTGGGTGTGGATGGGGGTGTGGATGGGGGTGGGGGGTGTGGTGTGGGTGTGGGTGGGTGTCGGGTGTGGCTGTGGCTGTGGCTGTGGGATGTAACTGTGAATGTGGGCGTGTAGGTGTAGATATTGGTGTGAGTGTGGTTGGGTGTGAGTGTAAGAGAATCGAAGATCCACACCAATGCGCACACCCTCTTCTCTTCATCGACATACACTCACACCTAAACCCACACCCACACCCACACCCGGAATAGCGATATTTATCGTTATTACATTCCTTGTTTGAAATATTTTCTGATTAAAATTTCTTAGTAATGCAACGTTGCGTAAAGTTACAGAATACAAAGTAAGTGCAATTATCCGATCGAGATTCGTTATATACAACGACTGGCCATTTTTCACATCGAATGTTTTATATTCTTTAGATTCCACTTTTATTCTATGCCCCTTCTGATTCGGATTCAAGAAATTATGATATGATGAGCAGAACTAAGTTTGGATCACGCTTTTGGCTTGAACAACAAGAATCAAATAGTCGAGAAATGGATATCCCTCTTTAAGTTACTTGATATTAAATACTTATTCTTCGACGAAAAATGGTTTTGTTCTCGTGTTTACTGTTGAGCACGAGTGATTTTAAATCAGGATCACTCTTCAAGAATTTATTTTACTCATTCAACAATGTCAGTTGTTCTATTCTGTATGACATCTCGTTGGGGGAGTGCTCTTTTATTTGAACCAGAGAGACAGGCTAGATGACAGTAGAAAAGCACATTAGCTTGAAAGATGCATTCAGTTACGCCCATCGATGCCTATACTGTGTGATCATAGTGCCAGCAACTGTCAGATATCCAGCATATTATGCATAGAAAAAGCTAATTTCTAGTCAAGCATATATTTATTTCTATCAAATCAATCGGTTATCTGTCTTTTCGAATTCTTCGAACAGTGTCGACGAAATATTGTTGCCATGTCTCACAACCAACTTATGGAGTGTCTAAATCAAAGAAAATGCATACGGTAATGAGAGAGATGAAGACAGAATGAGTATCACCATGTTGTTGTGCAAAGCATTGGCTAAATGTTGCGCTCCCAGATCACCAATTTGATTCCAATGAATATCAAGTGTTCTGAGTGTCTGTGTGAAAAAGACAGATGATAATGAGAGATATTAATAGAGAATGCAGTTCACCGTGTTATGGTATAAAACATTGGCCAGATATTCTGCACCTTGGTCGCCGATTCGATTCCAATTAATGTCAAGTGTGGTAAGTGTCTGTGTAAAATAAAATAGAGACGGTGACGGGAGAAATAAGTAGAGAATTTGGCTCACCTTATTGTTTAAGAGAGCATTGGAAAGATACTGCACCCCCATTTCTTCGATTTGATTGTTCGCGAGATTGAGTGTAGTGAGTGTCTGTAGAAAAATGCGCATGTAATTATGGGAAAGATCAGAAGAAGAATGTGGCTTACTGTATTATTTAAAAGAGCATCGGCGATATATTGCACCCCTGTCCTTCGATTTGATTGCTCGTGAGATTGAGTGTAGTGAGTGTCTGTAGAAAAATGTGCATATAAGAATGTGGGAGATTAGAGGAAGATGCGATTCACTGCATTATTTAAAAGAGCATTGGCGAGATGTTGTACCCCTTCGTCTGCAATTCTATTAACAGCAAGGTGCAATCTGATTAGTGTCTGTATGAAAAGTGGAAATAGCAGTGAAAGAGAGAAGTCAAGAATAATCTATACTGTATTGTTTTGTAAAGCAGTGGCGAGATTTCGAGCCCCCAGATGTCCGATTTCATTGCATCCAATATCGAGCGTGGTGAGTGTCTGTGTGAAGAATTTCTTGTGATAATAAGCGACACAAATAAAGAATTATGTTTACAGTGTTTTTTTGTAAAGCATTGGAGAGATGTTGTGCCCCTACAGTTCCGATTTGATTTGCAGAAATATTTAGTGCGGCTAGTGCCTGTGTGAAAAAGTACAGATGGTTATGAGAGAGATGAATAGAGACTGCCTTCACTGTATTTTTTGAGAGAGCATTGGCGAGATGTTCTACTCCTTGTCCTCCAATTTGATTTTGAGCAAGGTCGAGTGTGGTGAGCGCCTATGAAGAAAAGTTTAGATAATGATGAGAGAAATAAGAAGAGATTGTCATTCACTGTGTTGTATGAGAGTGCATTGGCGAGATATTCTACACCTTTGTTTTCGATTTGAGTTCTGCTAAGATTGAGTGTGGTGAGTGTCTGTATAGAAAAATGCAGCTGGTAAGAACAGAGAAGAAGAAAAAATAGAATGCACCGTGTTGCATGAGAGAGCATTGGCGAGATGTTTTATCCATAAGTCTCCGATTGGATTTTCATGAAGGTCGAGTGTGGTTAGGGTCTGCAAAAAAAGTTCAGATAGTAAGGAGAGAGAGAGAGAATAAAAGAATGTGACTCACCATGTGAGTTTTGAGAACGCTGGCGAGATACTGTGCCCCGCTAGGTCCGATTCTATTTGTAGCAAGATCAACTGTGGTGATCATCTGTGCGAAAAATGCAGACGATAATGGGACAAATGAGTGAAGAACACAGTTCACCTTATTATTCTCTAAAATATTAGCGAGGCTTTGTATCCCAGAATTTCGCATTTGATTTGTAGAGAGTCCGAGTGTGGTGACTGTCTGTGTGAAAAATACAGATGATAATGACACATATCGATAGAGAATGTGGCTCACTGTGTTGTTCTTTAAAGCACTGGTGAGATGTTGTGCACCGGCAGGTCCTATTAAATTTCTAGCAACGTCGAGTGTGATGAATGTCTATGTGAAAGTTGCAAATTGTAATGAGATAGGCTAGTAGAGAAAACCATTGATCCAGTTTAATTACTTTCATATGTCACAGGGTGTCCCAAAAGTCATTTTACAGTGAAACAATTGAATATCTAAGTTACGCTGCGAATCGACCAAACGGGCTCATTTCTTTTATCAAAGATAAAGGCATGTTGACACTTCAAATCCATACGAATAAGATTATTGAGAACCTTTTATTAAGCACCATTATTGACGTCAACAAAGAATTAATTTTTCACAGATAGGCAAAAAACAACATAGAGAGCTACGCAAAAGTCACCTTGCTGAAAAAACTTGAATATCTCTAATACGGCTCGACAAAATGAGCTGATTTTTTTAATCAATGATAGATGCGTATTTAAACTTTATATTCATAAAGGCATGCCTAGAGAAATCCTTTGTTAAATATATTATTTTTTTTTCCTACCTGTGGAAAAGTAATGTTCTTTTTGTTGAGGTCAATAATAGTACTTGACAAAGATTCTCATCAACCTTGTCCCTGTGGATATGGAGTGTCAACATGCCTCTATCTTTGGTAAAAAAATGAGCCCATTTGGCCGATCCGCAGCGCAACCTAAATATTCAATTGTTTGACTTTAAAGTGACTTTTTGGACGCCCTGTATAATCAAATATTACTATAGATTATGATTAAATTTGTGAATGAACGAATCAATGTACTTTCTCATTTTGTCGTTGTGATCGACATGACTCAAATGAAATGAATCTCATTTTCAATATCACTTTGATGTTGTGAAGGTGTAGTTTTTCATTTCCGAGATCCTCCATACTGACAAATTCTGAAGTATACAGTGAAATTTTACTCTGCGAACACCCGTCTTTAATAAACAGTCTGTTTATCGGAACATTCTCGAAAACGACCGAGCGATTTTTGTACTTGTATTGATCTCTATCTGCAGTTGAACTTCTCGCATGTAATCATGTCTAATTGATTTGATAAATCAATGTAAGAGATATTTCACTGTATTACTTAGGGCATACCAAAAGTAGTGGCACCGACTCTGTAATATTTTATAGAAGCCTTTAGGAAATTTTTTCTCTATATATTCTGATAGCCCAAATCAAGCTCTATAATTCTATGATATTTCTTAAATCTTCAAACAATATATAATATTTGAGAAAAAGGAAAAACAATGAGTGATTGACAAAAAAAAATTTGTTTTTGAACCAAGTTTATCATGTTTTTATTACGTCAAATATTCAAAATAATCATCCCGGTTATTTATACACAAATGCATTCATTGAATCCACTTATCAAAAATTTTTTTTTACTCTTCTTTTGCCAACATTTCATAAATTTGATCACAGCTTTATGCAACGATTCTGAATCATCTTGATCGTCTAGATTTTGTTTGATTAAATCAAACAACCAAAAACCACATGAAGCCAGATCTGGAGAATTAGGTGGATGTGGCATTATTATTACGCCTTCTGACTGAAGAAAATTGACTACATCTTCATGCATATGTGGTCTTCCATTATCATGATGAAGTTTAATTGATTGAGTGCCTAAGAAAGGTCATTGCTTCCTAATTTCATTAATAACTGGTAGCAAACAATTATTGATGTAATGTTGATGATCGATTGTTTGTTCACGTTTAACAGAATGGATCAAAACTGGACCACTTAACTTGAAAAAAAAATTCACAGGAGAGTTTTTGGAGCAAAATGACTACTCCGAACCACCGTTGGAGAAGGATCTCCACGTGCTACTCAAGCAGCATTTGATGATTTTCGATCGATCTGCTTGTGATAAAACCATGATTCATCACCTGTTACTACATCGCATAATCTCCAAATACCTTGTTCAAATTTGAACAAGTTTTCTTGACATATTCGCACTCGTTCAGCCTTTTGAAAGTTTGTCAGATGTTTGGAAACATAACGTGCAGTAACTTTTTTCAATTGCAAATGATCAGAAATAATTCGTTGGATGGTGCCATGGCTTAGACTACTTTGTACTTCGAATTCGTCAACTGTAACATAAGGATCATCATTAATAAGATCGTGAACTTGTCTAATATTTTCAGATGTTGTCTCCGTTACAGGTCTGTCAGGTCTTTCTTCGTCTTCAACTTGTTCTCGACCGTCACGAAACCATTTTGACCATCTTTGAACAGTGCTGCGAGGAGGAGCTTCATCACCAAAGACAGTGTGTAATTCATTATGAATAGCTATGGGTTCAATATGAAGTGCAGTACGCACTTTAATATAGAAACGAAAATATTCCTTATCCATTTGAAAAGAAGTGAATAGTTTTGATCGTATTATGGTCTATGTTACAACCAATATGCTATATTGTCTTCAACGTAATATTTCTGTCCTCTTCTTTTTTTTCCTTCTAACTTTCTCCTTTCTTCTCTTTCTTTTCTCAGTCTTTTTAACTTCTTTGATATTTATCTTCATTTATACATTTGAAACACACGTGCTCTATTTGTTTTATCTGTGTGTATAGTTAGTTTTTGTATATTTTCTAGGTGAAAATCTATAAAAGCTGCAAAAAACTTAAGAGTATCGAAACTTTTGCTGATATAATATTATTTGAAGATTTATGAAATATCATAGGATTATAGATCTTGACTTGGCTATCAGAATATAGAGCGAAAAGATTTCTTACAGGTTTCTGTAAAATATTACAGAGTCGGCGCCACTACTTTTGGTATGCCCTAAGTAGATACATAAAAATACCCTTTGTTCTTATCATTTAGAATAGTACTGTATATCGATTGTCAACACTTTCTAGTAATTTATAAATAATAATAATTAACTTTAGGTTTCAATAGCTATTAGGCTTCACATTTTGATAACGAGTATTTTCCCATGAAAGCTATATCTAAGTCACTCGGTTCATAGTTGTTTAGTCCTAGTTAAATAGTTTTAAATGTTGTTCTATTCATGGCAATCCATTTAAAAGTATAAAGTCATAGAATGTCCACTTTAAATATCTCAACACATGATAATGACAGGCATTAGCATTTCCGACTGAATATCAAGCCATACGATGTTCACATGTCAATGCATCATAGTGGCTACTGAGCTGTTTCCATGTACTCAAAAACAGAATAACGCACTATAAATATACAAAACCAATAAGTCATACAACTACTCTAAGGCAACCGAGATGATAGAAAATGAATATTATGAAATATCCTTATTTGTCTGCGTGGGTAACCTTAAAGTCGTAACTATAAAATAAACCAATTAAAAGTCACATTGATCAATATTGTATTTTTCGCAGGACTTTCGACATAGAAATATGGATTAGTTGTGGATTTTTGCACTACTAAATAGTAAATTAGGACACATGGAACTCAAGACCTTTTCTAGACGGTACACGATTAAGAATATGAACGGAAAATATGTTTGCCAATCTTGCAATATTCGAAGTACCTATTCCGACACGGGATGAATGAACAAGACGCTTTTTTCTGCTCATAAATTACTGCGCACTATAATCTGCCTGTAGAATAGTCAATTTCATTATGTGTAACATTTTTAGGCAAGAAAAGTAATCAGTGTAGAATATTAAGAATAAAATTTGAGCATATGAGCAGGAGAGAAAATCGATATGTGGAGCGAACAGTTGATATTGGAACTCAGCATGCTAGGTATGAAATAGTAAGTAAATGCTTTTCACCAATGTTCTTATGATATTTGCTTCATACTAAGTTTAGTCAAATACAAAAAGATTCATATAAAAATGAAGTTGAATGAATATGTTGATGGCGAAAGGTAAAGCAGTCAAATCAATTTTCTTACATACCTCATCTGAAGTATTGTCAGCCATTCTATTTAGAGGTCGTTGAGTCAGGCGACAAGCATTATCTCTCCACGATACTTCGCATCTGACAAACCCTTGATAACGAGAAATGTTGATGGGTATTGTATGAAGCCAGATGGCTCTCGAGTTTGGAACATAGGCACAGGCCACAAACCAGTGTTTATCATTGAGCCAGAAGGGTTCTCGGCACGGAGCAATGAGTGACTCAAGACTAACGAAATTATTGTTTCTGAAGTTGGTAGAAGCAAAGAAGAATTCAAATTGATCTAGTTTGGGTAGCTTGGCGCGAATGAGTTGTTCCCAATAACAGCCATTAAACATCGAATCAAGCGTTTGTCTATGGGAAATGAGTTTAAGATGGTGAAGTAAAGGCAGCGATGAAATCATTAACTCAAAGTGTTGTGGAGTCATTGAACAATCTGTAATAGTTAAAGATTTCATTGAAGTATGGGGCATAGAGGTAGACGATGTCAAAGACGCTTGATTCTCATCTAGGATGCAGTTTCGAATAACTAGTGTTCGTAAATTAGGCAAATGATGAAGAATGAGAAGACACTCGCTGTAAATACAGTCACCAAATTCCAAATGCCTTAATTTATACTGATCTGGCCATGATATATGTCCCATCATGTAATTCACATTACTAACACATAGTTTCCAAAGATTCCATCGGACGATTGCCAATGAGACAAGATCCCACGTTTTGTCATGCTCTTGCTCACTCGATTCGATCGAAAACGAAGTCAAAGAACAGGTGATTAAATTTTTAAAAAGATGTTCCAAATTTGTGTCTTGGATTGGATGGATTGTTAATGAGCGAAGTCGAGTAAGTCGACAAATATCGAATAATGAATAAAATAAACTGATTCCATCATTTTCCCCATGACTGTTTAGGATAGTAACTGAAGTCACATTCTCTAGTCGCATAAAACGAGAAACAGATTTCATCATATTGGCTGATTCTGAATTAAGTATGAGTACTATCCGATCGTAGGTGTTGACAAGAGCATAGAATGTTCTGCAGACAGAACGAACACAAGTAAGAAGCGTGTAAACATCACAGTGGTCGAATATGCGATGAACTAATTCAGGAGATAGAGTAAAAAGAGATGTATTCTGAATCGAAACATCAGTTGTGGTCGCTGACCGTAGTTGCATCATGTTCTATAATAAACAACAAGAAAATTTCAATCGTCACATCGTTTCACATCTCTACACACACTTATGCACACAAGGCAGTTTAACTAAAACATCAGACTCTTGATATGACTTTCTGGCTTTACTTATGTACTCGTTTAACTATGTATTTGAAAGATGATTGTGATATTGATTGACTTGTTGATGTTACATGTTTTAAACTGCACAAAGATTTGAAATAGAAAAGAGGCCAGAAAAGCAATCTTTACAATGAGAAGAAGAAAAAAAAACACGATGCATATTACCATGTGCGAAGCATTTTGTTTTGAAATTTGTCCGTAAAATACTTGCTTTCGATGCTTGTTTCTTCAGACGGTTTAGTCTTTTTCTTTTCTCGTTCTCTTCTCATTTAGAGTGTAGGTGTTTTTTTTATAGAAGAATAATTCAAAACATCATACAACACGTTTCGACTATTGCTTATATAATCATCATCAGATATATTCTAAGGAAGTGTTTGCAAGAGAATGAATCAAATTTCAGATGATTTACGAGAAGCATTGGGACCTTACTCAATGCCAATAATCATCAGATAAATTTGGAATTCAATTATCCATCTCAACTAAAATTATTCATAGAAATTCATGAATGTGATAAGCGAGGATAAGAGTGTTGTAAATTGATGATGGTGAATCAGAGCAAATTTTTTTATTTTACATTTGGTGTTGAAATTTATAACTTTTAACGAAGCAATCTGAGTTGTTTTGTGAAATGATCATGGAAATTGGTTCAATGAATAAAGTATGTCACTGATATTTTCGTTAATCATGGGAATATGCAGGGTTTGGTTAGTATATTCGCCGATAGTTTCCGTTGAAATACGGTTGTTTTAAATTCCAGTTTGATCTAAATTTGATAATTTATTAGTTCTATATAAACCTATACAATTTGGTTGGGCTAAGTTACGAAGAGCTTCAATGAAAGTCAAATTCGGTACTGACAAGCCGATTTGTTCTTCTTTTCCTATCAATAAACTAATGCTCATTATGTCCAAGCAAAGGTCTTGGATTTGGACTAACAAGCTGAAGTCAAAGCAAGTTTACAAAGAGACTTTATCTTAATTTATTGTGATAATTCAATATCTATTATGAGTTTCAGGTGAGTAAATGAGGGTGTGCTCGTGAAGAGAAAACGCTCACCAACGTTCATATCTGAAAGCCATCCCTTTTGTTTTGAATATCATTTTCCACAGTTTCAATGTTCGTATATGAATGGTTTTCCAATTCAATTACTCTGTCTCTGCTCGATGTTTGATTATATTTCATGATGATAATTATATGGATGCATTTAAGTTCAAAAAAAAGTATGGGGGTGTGGGTGTGGGTGTATGGGTGTGGGTGTGGGTGTGGATGTGGGTGTGAATGAACAGAAAGCAAATGCAGACACCGATCGCACACCCACTCCCACACTCACACTACACCCATCCACACCCACCCACACCCACACTCACACCCACACCCACACCCACACCCACACCCACACCATACTTTTATGTGTTTCGGCTAATCAAAATTACTATTGAAAATTTCTGTTTGAGTATTAAATTGGTACATAAACTTTCATTACTTCTTTACTATAATTTTGAAGAGTAGCCTATAAGTTATCATCTAATGTAGATGGTTTTTAATTTGCATCAAATATATGAAGGTATTGCATTAGTACAACTATTGAAAAATACTATCAAATTTATTCCCTGGACTGTAAGGGAGGGTCATATGAAAAAAATGCGTTAGTATGTATGTATGTGTCAAGGTCAAAAGAACATCCTCTTAAAGTTGTTCTCTATAAAGGTTGACGAAAGTAACTCGAGGTCGGAGAATCCAAATCTGAAGTCAGTTTCTCGAAATTTTAAATTGAGATTTTAACGTCAAGGGAAGCGTTTTGTGAGAAAATAACGAAGTTTTATAAAGGTTGGCGAAAGCAAACCGGGGTCGGGAAATCCGAATTTGAAATCAGCTTTTCAAAAACTCAAATAGACATTTGTATGAAAAAAATCATACTTTTCTCTGTGAATTATTGTCTAAGGAAAAAGTCAATTCTTTTGAGAAAACGACAGTTGGAAAAAAAAAGGAAACTCGAAATATGGAAAATCCGTTTGCGTATTTGAAATCTGCGATTCGTGTTTAGTTTAATTACCCTCTTGACAGCATCGTTGTAGGCATGAATTGGAGTGTGACCTAATGGGGTGGGTGTTTCAGTAAGTTGTAGTGTGATAAAACAGTGTTTACACACCACTGGTACTTAGTCTGAGGTTCGTAACATT